TGTTTTGACGCGTTTTCGGGGCAGTTTTGAGGTGTTTTTAAGCGTTTTGGGGGTGTTTTTGAGCTGTTTTTAGGCGTTTTCATGCGTTTTTAGGCGCTTGGGAGCATTTTTAGGGTGTTTTGGGGGCGTTTTGAGGGTGTTTTTGAGGTGTTTTTTGGCGTTTTCAGGCGTTTTGGGGGCGTTTTTAGGACTTTTCAGGCGTTTTTAGGGTGTTTTTAAGCGTTTCGGGGGTGTTTTTAGGCGTTTTGGGGCCATTTAAAAGCATTTTTGGGCCATTTCCGCACCTTTGTGTCTGTTTTCAGGTGTTTCCAGCTGTTTTGGGGCCATTTTCAGGCATTTTGGTGCCATTTCCACGCCTTTTTGTCCATTTCCACGCGTTCCCATCAGTTTTGGGGCCATTTCCACTCATTTTGGTGCCATTTCCACGCCTTTTTGTCCATTTCCACGCATTTCCATCAGTTTTGGGGCCATTTCCACTCATTTTGGTGCCATTTCCACGCCTTTTTGCCCATTTCCACGCGTTCCCATCAGTTTTGGGCCCATTTCCCTGCGTTCCGGGCCCGTTCTGCCCCCATTGCCCCGTACAGGTGTGTGTGTATGGGGGGGGGGGGTGCTCTCAGTACCTGGGGTGGCGCGGGAGCAGCCCCGGCGCCCGCTTCGGGGGGGGCTCCCCCTGCGGGAAGAGGTCCCTGCCGGTGCGCAGGATCTGCTCCTCCAGCCGCTGGTGCCGCTGCAGGTCCCACAGCACCTTCTCCAGGCGCGCCTCCCGCCGGCGACCGCGCGCACACCCGCCTGGCACAGGGGGGACACAGGGGAGCTGGGGGGCGCTTGCGGGCGTTTTGGGGGCGTTTTTGAGGTGGTTTTAGGCGTTTTCAGGCGTTTTTAGGCGTTTGGGGGCGTTTTTAGGGTGTTTTGACGCGTTTTAAGGGCGTTTTTGACGTGTTTTTAGGCGTTTTCAGGCGTTTATAGGCGTTTGGGGGCGTTTTTAGGGTGTTTTGACGCGTTTTGGGGGAGTTTTTGACGTGTTTTTAGGCGTTTTCAGGCGATTTTAGGCGTTTGGGGGCGTTTTTAGGGTGTTTTGACGCATTTTCGGGGCAGTTTTGAGGTGGTTTTAGGCGTTTTCAGGCGTTTTGGGGGCGTCTTTAGGACTTTTCAGGCGTTTTTAGGGTGTTTTTAAGCGTTTTGGGGGTGTTTTTGAGGTGGTTTTAGGGGTTTTCAGGTGTTTTTAGGCTGTTTTTAGGCGTTTTGCGGGCGTTTTTGAGCTGGTTTTAGTTTTTTTCAAGTGCTTTTAGGCGTTTTGGGAGCATTTTTGAGGTGTTTTCAGGCGTTTTCAGGCATCTTAAGGTGTTTTGGGGGCGTTTTTACGGTGTTTTGAGCCGTTTTGAGGGTGTTTTTGACGTGTTTTTAGGCGTTTTCAGGCGATTTTAGGCATTTGGGGGCGTTTTTAGGGTGTTTTGGGCGCGTTTTTGACGTGTTTTTACGCGTTTTCAGGCGATTTTAGGCGTTTGGAAGCGTTTTTAGGGTGTTTTGACACGTTTTGAGTGCGTTTTTGAGGTGGTTTTAGGCGTTTTCAGGCGTTTTTAGGTGTTTGGGGGCGTTTTTAGGGCGTTCTGAGCCGTTTTGGGGGCGTTTTTGAGGTGTTTTTAGGCGTTTTCAGGCGTTTTTAGGCGTTTGGGGGCGTTTTTAGGGTGTTTTGACGCGTTTTGGGGGCGGTTTTGAGGTGGTTTTAGGCGTTTTCAGGCGTTTTTAGGCGTTTGGGGGCGTTTTTAGGGTGTTTTGACGCGTTTTGGGGGTGTTTTTGAGGTGTTTTTAGGCGTTTTCAGGCGATTTTAGGCGTTTGGGGGCGTTTTTAGGGTGTTTTGAGGGCGTTTTGGGGGCGTTTTTGAGGTGTTTTTAGGCGTTTTCAGGCGATTTAGTGGGGGCGTGGTTTTGAGGCGTTTTGAGGGCGTTTTGACGTGTTTTTAGGCGTTTTCAGGCGTTTATAGGCGTTTGGGGGCGTTTTTAGGGTGTTTTGAGCGTTTTGGGGGCGTTTTTGACGTGTTTTTAGGCGTTTTCAGGCGATTTTAGGCGTTTGGGGGCGTTTTTAGGGTGTTTTGAGCTGTTTTGGGGGCGTTTTTGAGGTGTTTTTAGGCGTTTTCAGGCGTTTATAGGCGTTTGGGGGCGTTTTTAGGGTGTTTTGAGGGGTTTTGGGGGCGTTTTTGACGTGTTTTTAGGCGTTTTCAGGCGATTTGAGGCGTTTGGGGGCGTTTTTAGGGCGTTTTGAGCTGTTTTAGGGGCGTTTTTGAGGTGTTTAGGAGTTCAGGCATAGGCGTTTGGGGGCGTTTTAGGGTGTTTTGAGGGGTTTTGAGGGCGTTTTTGACGTGTTTTTAGGCGTTTTCAGGCGTTTATAGGCGTTTGGAGGCATTTTTACGGTGTTTTGAGGGCGTTTTTGACATGTTTTTAGGCGTTTTCAGGCGATTTTAGGCGTTTGGGGGCGTTTTTAGGGTGTTTTGACGCGTTTTGAGGGCGTTTTTGACGTGTTTTTTGGCGTTTTCAGGCGATTTTAGGCGTTTGGGGGCGTTTTTAGGGCGTTTTGAGCTGTTTTGGGGGCGTTTTTGAGGTGTTTTTAGGCGTTTTCAGGCGTTTATAGGCGTTTGGGGGCGTTTTTAGGGTGTTTTGAGCCGTTTTGAGGGCGTTTTTGAGGTGTTTTTAAGCGTTTTCAGGCGATTTTAGGCGTTTGGAAGCGTTTTTAGGGCGTTTTGAGCCGTTTTGGGGGCGTTTTTGACATGTTTTTAGGCGTTTTCAGGTGTTTTTAGGCGTTTGGAAGCGGTTTTAGGGTGTTTTGACGCGTTTTGAGGGCGTTTTTGAGGTGGTTTTAGGCGTTTTCAGGCGATTTTAGGCGTTTGGGGGCGTTTTTAGGGTGTTCTGACGCGTTTTCGGGGCAGTTTTGAGGTGGTTTTAGGCGTTTTCAGGCATTTTGCAGGCGTTTTTAGGACTTTTCAGGCGTTTTTAGGGTGTTTTTAAGCGTTTTGGGGGTGTTTTTAGGCGTTTTCAGGCGATTTTAGGCGTTTCCGGGCGTTTTTAGGGTGTTTTGACGCGTTTTGGGGGCGGTTTTGAGGTGGTTTTAGGCGTTTTCAGGCGATTTTAGGCGTTTGGGGACGTTTTTAGGGTGTTTTGACGTGTTTTGGGGGTGTTTTTGAGGTGTTTTTAGGCGTTTTCAGGCGATTTTAGGCGTTTGAGGGCGTTTTTAAGGCGTTTTGAGCTGTTTTGGGGGCATTTTTGACGTGTTTTTAGGCGTTTTCAGGCGATTTTAGGCGTTTGGGGGTGTTTTTAGGCGTTTTCAGGCGTTTTCGGGGCGTTTTTAGGACTTTTCAGGCGTTTTTAGGGTGTTTTTAAGCGTTTCGGGGGTGTTTTTAGGCGTTTTGGGGCCATTTTCAGGCATTTTTGGGCCATTTCCACACCTTTTTGTCTGTTTTCAGGTGTTCCCAGCTGTTTTGGGGCCATTTCCACTCATTTTGGTGCCATTTCCACGCCTTTTTGCCCATTTCCACACATTCCCATCAGTTTTGGTGCCATTTCCCTGCGTTCCGGGTCCGTTCTGCCCCCATTGCCCCGTACAGGTGTGTGTGTATGGGGGGGGGGTGCTCTCAGTACCTGGGGTGGCGCGGGAGCAGCCCCGGCGCCCGCTTCGGGGGGGGCTCCCCCTGCGGGAAGAGGTCCCTGCCGGTGCGCAGGATCTGCTCCTCCAGCCGCTGGTGCCGCTGCAGGTCCCACAGCACCTTCTCCAGGCGCGCCTCCCGCCGGCGACCGCGCGCACACCCGCCTGGCACAGGGGGGACAGGGACACAGGGACAGGGAGCTGGGGGGCGCTTGCGGGCGTTTTGGGGGCGTTTTTGAGGTGGTTTTAGGCGTTTTCAGGCGATTTTAGGCGTTTGGGGGCGTTTTTAGGGTGTTTTGACGCGTTTTGGGGGCGTTTTTGACGTGTTTTTAGGCGTTTTCAGGCGATTTTAGGCGTTTGGGGGCGTTTTTAGGGTGTTTTGACGCATTTTCGGGGCGGTTTTGAGGTGGTTTTAGGCGTTTTCAGGCGTTTTCAGGCGTTTTTAGGACTTTTCAGGCGTTTTTAGGGTGTTTTTAAGCGTTTTGGGGGTGTTTTTGAGGTGTTTTTAGGGGTTTTCAGGTGTTTTTAGGCTGTTTTTAGGCGTTTTGGGGGCGTTTTTGAGCTGGTTTTAGTTTTTTTCAAGTGCTTTTAGGCGTTTTAGGAGCATTTTTGAGGTGTTTTTAGGCGTTTTCAGGCATCTTAAGGTGTTTTAGGGGCGTTTTTAGGGTGTTTTGAGGCGTTTTGAGGGCGTTTTTGACGTGTTTTTAGGCGTTTTCAGGCGATTTTAGGCGTTTGGGGGCGTTTTTAGGGTGTTTTGACGCGTTTTGGGGGCGGTTTTGAGGTGGTTTTAGGCGTTTTCAGGCGATTTTAGGCATTTGGGGGCGTTTTTAGACTGTTTTGACGCATTTTGGGGGTGTTTTTGAGGTGTTTTTAAGCGTTTTCAGGCGATTTTAGGCGTTTGGGGGCGTTTTTAGGGTGTTTTGACGCGTTTTCGGGGCAGTTTTGAGGTGTTTTTAGGACTTTTCAGGCGTTTTTAGGGTGTTTTTAGGCGTTTTGGGGCCATTTAAACGCATTTTTGGGCCATTTCCGCACCTTTGTGTCTATTTTCAGGTGTTTCCAGCTGTTTTGGGGCCATTTTCAAGCATTTTGGTGCCATTTCCACGCCTTTTTGTCCATTTCCATGCATTTCCAGCTGTTTTGGGGCCATTTCCACTCATTTTGGTGCCATTTCCACACCTTTTTGTCCATTTCCACGCGTTTCCATCAGTTTTGGGGCCATTTCCACTCATTTTGGTGCCATTTCCACGCCTTTTTGCCCATTTCCACGCGTTCCCATCAGTTTTGGGCCCATTTCCCTGCGTTCCGGGTCCGTTCTGCCCCCATTGCCCCGTACAGGTGTGTGTGTATGGGGGGGGGGGTGCTCTCAGTACCTGGGGTGGCGCGGGAGCAGCCCCGGCGCCCGCTTCGGGGGGGGCTCCCCCTGCGGGAAGAGGTCCCTGCCGGTGCGCAGGATCTGCTCCTCCAGCCGCTGGTGCCGCTGCAGGTCCCACAGCACCTTCTCCAGGCGCGCCTCCCGCCGGCGACCGCGCGCACACCCGCCTGACACAGGGGGACAGGGACACAGGGGAGCTGGGGGGCGCTTGCGGGCGTTTGGGGGGCGTTTTTGAGGTGTTTTTAGGCGTTTTCAGGCGTTTTTAGGCGTTTGGGGGCGTTTTTAGGGTGTTTTGAGGGGTTTTGAGGGTTTTTTTGAGGTGTTTTTAGGCGTTTTCAGGCGATTTTAGGCGTTTGGGGGCGTTTTTAGGGCGTTTTGAGGGTGTTTTTCAGGTGTTTTTAGGCGTTTTCAGGCGATTTTAGGCGTTTGGGGCCGTTTTTACACTGTTTTGAGGCGTTTTGGGAGCGTTTTTGACGTGTTTTTACGAGTTTTCAGGCGTTTTTAGGCGCTTGGGAGCGTTTTTAGAGTGTTTTGACGCGTTTTGGGGGCGGTTTTGAGATGTTTTTAGGCGTTTTCAGGCGTTTTTAGGCGTTTGGGGGCGTTTTTAGGGTGTTTTGACGCGTTTTGAGGGTGTTTTTGAGGTGTTTTTAGGCGTTTTCAGGCGATTTTAGGCGTTTGGGGGCGTTTTTAGGGTGTTTTGAGGCGTTTTGGGGGCGTTTTTGACGTGTTTTTAGGCGTTTTCAGGCGATTTTAGGCGTTTGGGGGGGTTTTTAGGGTGTTTTGACGCGTTTTGAGGGGGTTTTTGAGGTGTTTTTAGGCGTTTTCAGGCGTTTTTAGGCGTTTGGGGGCGTTTTTAGGGTGTTTTGACGCGTTTTGAGGGCGTTTTTGAGGTGTTTTTAGGCGTTTTAAGGCGTTTTTAGGCGTTTGGGGGCGTTTTTAGGGTGTTTTGACGCGTTTTGGGGGTTTTTGAGTGTTTTTAGGCGTTTTCAGCGTTTTTAGGCGTTTGGGGGCGTTTTTAGGGTGTTTTGGGGCGTTTTGAGGGTGTTTTTGACGTGTTTTTAGGCGTTTTCAGGCGATTTTAGGCGTTTGGGGGCGTTTTTAGGGTGTTTTGAGCCGTTTTGGGGGCGTTTTTGACGTGTTTTTAGGCGTTTTCAGGCGATTTTAGGCGTTTGGGGGCGTTTTTAGGGTGTTTTGAGCTGTTTTGGGGGCGTTTTTGACGTGTTTTTAGGCGTTTTCAGGCGTTTTTAGGCGTTTGGGGGCGTTTTTAGGGTGTTTTGACGCGTTTTGGGGGCGGTTTTGAGGTGGTTTTAGGCGTTTTCAGGCGTTTTTAGGCGTTTGGGGGCGTTTTTAGGGCGTTTTGAGCTGTTTTGGGGGCGTTTTTGAGGTGTTTTTAGGCGTTTTCAGGCGATTTTAGGCGTTTGGGGGCGTTTTTAGGGTGTTTTGACGCGTTTTGGGGGTGGTTTTGAGGTGGTTTTAGGCGTTTTCAGGCGATTTTAGGCGTTTGGGGGCGTTTTTAGGGTGTTTTGACGCGTTTTGGGGGTGTTTTTGAGGTGTTTTTAGGCGTTTTCAGGCGATTTTAGGCATTTGGGGGCGTTTTTAGGGTGTTTTGACGCGTTTTGGGGGTGTTTTTCAGGTGTTTTTAGGCGTTTTCAGGACTTTTCACGCGTTTTTAGGGTGTTTTTAACCGTTTTGGGAGTGTTTTTAGGCGTTTTCAGGCGATTTTAGGCGTTTGGAAGCGTTTTTAGGGTGTTTTGAGGCGTTTTGAGGGCGTTTTTAGGCGTTTTCAGGCGTTTATAGTCGTTTGGGGGCGTTTTTAGGGTGTTTTGAGGCGTTTTGAGGGTGTTTTTGAGGTGTTTTTAGGCGTTTTCAGGCGATTATAGGCGTTTGGGGGCGTTTTTAGGGTGTTTTGACGCATTTTGGGGGCAGTTTTGAGGTGGTTTTAGGCGTTTTCAGGCGTTTGGGGGCATTTTTAGGGCGTTCTGAGCCGTTTTGGGGGCGTTTTTGACGTGTTTTTAGGCGTTTTCAGGCGATTTTAGGCGTTTGGGGGCGTTTTTAGGGTGTTTTGAGGGGTTTTCAGGGTGTTTTTGACGTGTTTTAGGCGTTTTCAGGCAATTTTAGGCGTTTGGGGGCGTTTTTAGGGTGTTTTGAGCTGTTTTGGGGGCGTTTTTGAGGTGTTTTTAGGCGTTTTCAGGCGATTTTAGGCGTTTGGGGGCGTTTTTAGGGTGTTTTGAGGGGTTTTGAGGGCGTTTTTGAGGTGTTTTTAGGCGTTTTCAGGCGATTTTAGGCGTTTGGGGGCGTTTTTAGGGTGTTTTGAGGCGTTTTGGGGGCGTTTTTGACGTGTTTTTAGGCGTTTTCAGGCGATTTTAGGCGTTTGGGGGCGTTTTTAGCTGTTTTGGGGGCGTTTTTGAGGTGTTTTTAGGCGTTTTCAGGCGATTTTAGGCGTTTGGGGGCGTTTTTAGGGTGTTTTGAGGCGTTTTGGGGGCGGTTTTGAGGTGTTTTTTGGCGTTTTCAGGCATTTTGGGGGCGTTTTTAGGACTTTTCAGGCGTTTTTAGGGTGTTTTTAAGCATTTTAGGGGTGTTTTTGAGGTGTTTTTAGGCGTTTTCATGCGTTTTTAGGCGCTTGGGGGCGTTTTTAGGGTGTTTTGGGGGCGTTTTGAGGGTGTTTTTGAGGTTTTTTTTGCGTTTTCAGGCGTTTTGGGGGCGTTTTTAGGACTTTTCAGGCGTTTTTAGGGTGTTTTTAAGCGTTTTGGGGGTGTTTTTGAGGTGTTTTTAGGCGTTTTCATGCGTTTTTAGGCGCTTGGGGGCGTTTTTAGGGTGTTTTGGGGGCGTTTTGAGGGTGTTTTTGAGGTGTTTTTAGGCGTTTTCAGGCGTTTTGGGGGCGTTTTTAGGACTTTTCAGGCGTTTTTAGGGTGTTTTTAAGCGTTTTGGGGGTGTTTTTGAGCTGTTTTTAGGCGTTTTCAGGCATTTTTTGGCGTTTTGGAGTGGTTTTAGGCGTTTTAAGGGCGTTTTTGAGGTGGTTTTATGCGTTTTTAGGTGTTTATAGGCGTTTTGGAGGATTGTAAGGCGTTTTGAAAACGTTTTAGGGGTGTTTTCAGGCATTTTTAAGGGCTTTGGGGCTTTTTTAGGAGTCTTGAGAGCGTTTTTTGAGTGTTTCTAGGCGTTTTCAGATGTTTTGGGGGCACTTTTAGAGCGTTTTTAGGCGTTTTGGGGAAGTTTTGAGGTGTTTTTAGGCGTTTTCAGGCATTTTTAGGCATTTTGGGGGTGTTTTTGAGGTGTTTTTACGCTTTTCAGGCATTTTTAGGTGTTTTGGGAACGTTTTTGAGGTGTTTTTAGGTGTTTTCAGGCATTTTTGAGGGCATTTTGAGGTGTTTTTAGGAGTTTTCAGGCGCTTTTAGGCGTTTTGGGAGCATTTTTGAGGTGTTTTCAGGCGTTTTCAGGCATCTTAAGGTGTTTTGGGGGCGTTTTTAGGGTGTTTTGAGGGCGTTTTTGACGTGTTTTCAGGCGGTTTCAGGCGATTTTAGGCGTTTGGGGGCGTTTTTAGGGTGTTTTGACGCATTTTGGGGGCGATTTTGAGGTGGTTTTAGGCGTTTTCAGGCGTTTATAGGCGTTTTCGGGGGTTTTAAGGTGTTTTGAGGACATTTTAGGGGTGTTTTCAGGCATTTTTAAGGGCTTTCAGGCTTTTTTAGGCGTCTTGAGAACGTTTTTTGAGTGTTTTTAGTCGTTTTCAGGCGTTTTGGGGGCATTTTTAGGCCTTTTGGGGACGTTTTGAGGTGTTTTTAGGCATTTCCAGGCGTTTTTAGGCCTTTTGGGGGTGTTTTTAAGGTGTTTTCAGGCATTTTCAGGCGTTTTTAGGCGTTTGGGGGCATTTTTAGGGTGTTTTCAGGCATTTTGGGGGCGTTTTTGAGGTGGTTTTAGGCGTTATTAGGCGTTTATAGGCGTTTTGGGGGGTTTTAAGGCGTTTTGAGGACGTTTCAGGGGTGTTTTCGGGCATTTTTAAGGGCTTTGGGGCTTTTTTAGGCGTCTTGAGAGCGTTTTTTGAGTGTTTTTAGGCGTTTTCAGGCGTTTTGGGGTGTTTTTAGGGCGTTTTTCGGCGTTTTGGGGAAGTTTTGAGGTGTTTTTAGGCGTTTTCAGGCGTTTTTAGGCGTTTTGGGGGCGTTTTTGAGGTGGTTTTAGGCGTTTTCAGGCATTTTTAGGCGTTTGTGGGTTATTTTTAGGCATCTTGAGGACGTTTTGGGGGTGTTTTTAGGCGTTCTGGAGATGTTTTAAGGTGGTTTTGGCCAAATTTAGGCGATTGGGGGCGTTTTTGAGGAATTTTTGAGGTGAGTTTAGGCATTTTGAGGGCGGTTTTGAGGTGGTTTTAGGAGTTTTGGGGGTGTTCTCATGCGTTTTTGAGCGATTTTAGGTGACTTGGGGGCGTTTTAGGTGGTTTTGGGCGGTTTTAGGTGTTTTGGGGCCGTTTTTCAGGTGTTTTAAGGCGTTTTGGGGATATTTTAGGCATTTGGGAGCATATTTGGGGTCATTTTAGGCGGGTTCAGATGGTTTTAGAAGTTTTTGGGGTGGTTTTAGGGGGTTTTGGGGTGGTTTTAGGCTTTTTTGTGTGTTTTTAGATGTTTCTGGAGCTTTTAGATGTTTCAGGGTCGTTTTTAGGGTGATTTTAGGTGCTTCTGAGGTCATTTTAGGCGGTTTTGGGGTGATTTTAGGTCTTGGGGGGACACGTTAAGGGTGATTTTAGGCGTTTTGGGGCAATTTTAGCCATTTTGGGTGTGTCTTTAAGTGTTTTGGGACAATTTTAGCAATTTTGGGGGTGTCTTTAGGCGTTTCTAGGGTGTTTTAGCCGGTTTTCCTGTGTTTTTAAGCGTTTTGGGGTGGTTTTAGGCGTTCTGGGGGTGTTTTGGGGCGTTCTGGGGGTGGTTTTGGAGTGGTTTTAGGCGTTTTGGGGCAGTTTTAAGCATTTTGGGGCTGGTTTTAGGTCTTCTTTGGGGTGATTTTAGGCGGTTTTGGGGTGATTTTAGGCGTTTTGGGGGTGACTTTAGACGTTTCTGGGCTGGTTTTAGGCAGTTTTGGGGTGGTTTTAGGCATTTGGGGGGCAAATCTTGGCGGTTTTGGGGTGTTTTTACATCTTTTGGGTTGATTTTAGGGGGTTTTGGGTGTTTTGGGGGGGGGGTTTGGTACTCACCAGGGGCGCGGGGCCGGTCGATGAGGGCAGGTTTGGGGGGTGCGGGCTCGTCGTCGAAATCGAACTCAGTGGGGGCGGGAGGTCTAACGGTGGGGATCCCAAAATGAGCCCCCCATAATCCCCCATAGGCTCCCCTGAATACCCCGTAGACCCCCACAGACCCCATTAAACACCCCATAGACCCCCTTTAACCCCCCCAGACCCCCATAGACCCGTTTTAACCCCCCAGAACCCCTTTAACCCCCCGTAGACCCCATTAGACCCCCCCCAGACCCCCTTGAACCCCCCCAGACCCCCTTTAGCCCCCATAGACCCCCTTTAATCCCCCATAGACCCCCTTTAATCCCCCATAGACCCCCTTTAACCCCCCCATAGACCCCTTTAACCCCCCATAGACCCCTTTAACCCCCCCATAGACCCCCTTTAACCCCCCATAGACCCCCTTTAACCCCCCATAGACCCCCTTTAACCCCCCATAGACCCCTTTAACTCCCCATAGATCCCCCATAGACCCCCTTTAACCCCCCCATAGACCCCCATAGACCCCCTTTATCTCCCACAGACCCCCTTTAACCCCCCATAAACGGCACAGACCCCCTTTAACCCCCTATAGACCCCAAGCCTTTATACCCCCCACAGCACCCTTTAACCCCCCATAGACCCCATTAAACCCCCCCACAGACCCCCTTTAAACCCCCAGAGCCCTTTCACCCCCCATAGACACCCACAGACCCCCTTTAACCCCCCCATAGACCCCTTTAACCCCCCCATAGACCCCTATAACCACCCCTTTTACCCCCCATAGATCCGGTTTCCTGTTCCATAGGGTCCAGCCCCATAGACCCCACTCCCCATAAGTTGTCTTGCCCCATAGGGTGCTCAACCCTATAGATCCCCCATCCCCCACCCCCATAGACCCCCCATAACCCCCCCATAGACCCCCATAGACCTCAATACCCCCATAGACCCCCATAACCCCCTTTAACCCCTCATAGACCCCCCATAACCCCCCCTAGACCCCCACTTCTCCTCCTCCTCTCCCTCGCTCTGGGGCTGCCCCACAGCCCCCGGCTCCTCCTCGCTGTCCGGCTCCGGGGTGGGCTCTCGGCGGGGGCGGGGCTTAAGGCGGAGGGGAGGGGGGGGCGGCGGGGGGAGGGTCCCGTGACCGGAACAGCCTCCCGCCCCTCCCCCCGCTAAGAGCTCATAGAGGCGGCGGATGTCGGCGGGGGGGGGCAGCCACCCCCCGGGGGGTTCCCCCTCCTCATCGCTGCAGGGGATCTCCCACGGGTCCGTGACGTCATCGGGAGGGGGGGGAGGGGGTGGGGGGGATGGGGCGGGAGGAGGGGAGGGGGGGGAGGGGGAGGAGCGGAGGGGAGAAGGGGGAGCGTCCATTGGGGGGGGCTGTGGGGAGGGAGAGAGGTGTAAAGGGGTATATAGGGAGCCATAGGGACCCACAGGGTCCCATAGGGACCCCATAGGGACACATAGAGACCCATAGAGACCCCATAGAGATACATAGGGACCCATAGAGACCCATAGGGACGCATAGAGACCCCATAGAGACCCATAGAGACCCATGGAGACCCCATAAAGACCCCATAGAGATACATAGGGACCCACAGAGACCCCATAGAAACCCCATAGAGACTCCATAGAGATACATAGGGACCCACAGAGACCCATAGGGACCCATAGAGACCCATAGAGACCCATGGAGACCCCACAGAAACCCCATAGAGACCCCATAGAGATACATAGGGACCCATAGAGACACATAGAGACCCCATCGAGACCCATAGGGACCCCCATAACACGAACCGGAACCCTGATAACACGAACCTGACCCCCATAACACGAACGGGACACCGATAATACAAACCGGACCCCGATAAGACGAACCTGACCCCCATAACACGAACCGGGCACCCATAACAGGAACGCGACCCCCATAACACGAACCGGACCCCGATAACACGAACGGGACCCCATAACACGAATCGGAACCCTGATAACACGAACCGGACCCCTATAACACGAACGGGACCCCGATAATACGAACCGGGCCCTTCAGCTCCGGTCCCCTCAGCCCGCGGCCGCCATCTTGGCCCGGTTCCCGCCTCCCTCTGAGGCGCAGCTGCGCCTGCGCGGTTGGTGGGGGACGGGGGAGGGTTGCCATGGAGACGCCGCGGTCTTAAAGGGTCAACACTATGTGGGCCCCCTTTAAGCGGATAATTAATCACTGTAGCAATTAATTACGTCATTAACACGGCTGCCATTAAGGTTGTAATTAAGAGGGATGCGCAGGGCTCGGATTGAGAGCTCTTACTCCCGCCATGATCCCTTTACAACCCGCCATTGCCGCTTTAAGAAGCCTTGGGTCCACCCCGGTGCCGCTTTAAGAAGCGCTGACCCCCCCCCACACCGTTGCCGCTTTAAGAAGCGGCAGTCCCGCCCCCCGCAGTCACTGATTGGCTCTCGCGGCGTCACAGACGTAGAACGAACCAATCAGGAGGCGGCGTGGGGACAGCGCGGTCCTAAAGTCCGCTTCCAGTGTGGGGCCCGTCATAGGGCTCAAATTGGGTCCAATTGCTGCGATTTTGGGGCCAATTGAAGCGGAAACGAAGGCGGGGCAGGAATTGGCTCTTTTTTACTCAAAAGAGAGGCGAGGAAGCGTTAAATCAGCAGGCGGGAGCTGTCGGTCCGTGGCTGGAGCGGCAGGGGGCAATGGCGAGCAATGGGAGCTGGCCAGCAACAGGAGGTACCCATCAGTACCCGGCAATGGCCATCAATGTCGATTGATATCCATCAATATCCATCAATGTTCATCAATATCCATCGATATCGATTAATATCCATCAATATCCATCAATGTTCATCAATATCCGTTAATATCCATCAATATCCGTCAATGGCCATCAATGGCCATCAATGTCGATTAATATCCACCAATATCCATCAGTATCCATCAGTATCGATTAATATCCATCAATGTTCATCAATATCCATCAATATCGATTAATATGCATCAATAATGTCCTTCAATATCCATCAATACCCATCAATACCCACCAATACCCATCAATACCCATCAGTATCCATCAACACCCATCAATGCCCATCAATACCCATCAATACCCATCAGTAGCCATGAGTACCCATCAATCCCCATCAATCCCCATCAGTATCCAACAATACCCACCAATACCCATCAATACCATCAATACCCATCAATACCCATCAGTATCCATCAACACCCATCAATGCCCATCAATCCCCATCAATACCCATCAGTATCCATCGATACCCACCAATACCCATCAATACCCATCAATACCCATCAATACCCATCAGTATCCATCAATACCCATCAATGCCCATCAATATCCATGGATACCATCAATACCCATCAGTACCCATCAATACCCATCAATACCCATCAGTATCCATCAATACCCATCAATACCCATCAATATCCATCAATACCCATCAGTATCCATCAATACCCATCAATACCCATCAATATCCATCAATACCCATCAGTATCCATCAATACCCATCAATACCCATCAATATCCATCAATACCCATCAGTATCCACCAATACCCATCAATACCCATCAATACCCATCAATACCCATCAGTATCCATCAATACCCATCAATACCCATCAATATCCATGGATACCATCAATACCCATCAGTACCCATCAATAGCCATCAATACCCATCAATCCCCATCAGTATCCGTCAATACCCATCAATACCCACCAATACCCACCAATACCCATCAGTATCCATCGATACCCACCAATACCCATCAATCCCCATCAATACCCATCAGTATCCATCGATACCCACCAATACCCATCAATACCCATCAATACCCATCAATACCCACCAATACCCACCAATACCCATCAATCCCCATCAATACCCATCAGTATCCATCGATACCCACCAATACCCATCAATACCCATCAATACCCACCAATACCCACCAATACCCATCAATACCCATCAATACCCATCAATCACTCGGGGGGGGCATCGATCCCATTGCAATGGGGCAGGGCAGGCCCTGAGGGCTTTGTGAGTCACTGGGGGCTGCTGTTAATGAGGGTCAAGGGCAGCCAATCAATCACTGCCAATCAATCACTGCCAATCAATCACTGCCAATCAATCACTGCCAATCAATCAATGGCAATCACAGCCAATCAACCACAGCCAATCAATCAATCCTAATCAATCACAGCCAATCAATAACTGCCAACCAATCACAGCCAATCAATAATCAATAACTGCCAATCAATCACAGCCAATCAATCACTGCCAATCAATCACTGCCAATCAATAACTGCCAATCAATCAATGCCAATCAATCACTGCCAATCAATAGCTGATAATCAATCACACCCAATCATTAATCACAGCCAATCAATCACAGCCGATCAATCGCTGCCAATCAATCACAGCCAATCAGTGCCAATCGTTATCAATCCCTATCAATCCCTGTCACTCACTGCTAATCCCTATTGATCACTTCCAATCACTCAATCGCTGTCAATCGCTATCGATCCCAGTCAATCCCAATCAATCCCTGTCAATAACGATCAATCACTGTCAGTCACTGTCAACCCCAATCAATAGCTATCGATCCCAATGGATCCCTATCAATCCCAATCAATCCTGATCAATCCCTATCGATCCCACTCAATCCCGATCAATCGGTATCGATCCCAATCAATCCCACTCAATCCCAATCAATTGCTATTGATCCCAATCGATCCAGCTCGATCCCAACCAGTCACTATTGATCCCATTGGATCCCAATCAATTGTTATCAATCCCAATCAATCCCAACCAATCGCTATCGATCCCAATCAATCCCACTCAATCCCACTCAATCACTATCAATCCGTCAATCCCAATCAATCACGATCAATCCCTATCAATCCCATTCAATCCCAATCAATCCCTATGGATACCAATCGATCCCAATCAATCGCTATCGGTCCCAATCAATCGCTATCGATCCCAATCAATCGCTATCGGTCCCAATCAATCGCTATCGATCCCAATCAATCGCTATCGATCCCAATCACTCCCTATCAATCCCAATCAATCACTATCGGTCCCAATCGATCCCAATCAATCGCTTTCAATCCCAATCAGTCGCTATCAATCCCGATGAATGTTGATCGATCCCTATCGATCCCAATCGATCCCAAGAAATCCCAATCAATCAGTATTGATCCCTATCGATCCCAATCCCCATCGATCCCGATCGATCCCGATCGATCCCCACCAATCCCTGCCCCTCACTCCCCTCCCCTCCCCCCATCCGGTTCCTTTTCCCCTTCCCCCCTCTCCCCTTTCCCCCTCCCCCACAGCCGCGCCCTCCCCAGCAGGCCCCGCCCCGCCCCCGAGGAGGCCCCGCCCTTTTCCCGCGGAGGCCCCGCCCCCATCAGCCGCTGCATCCGGATTGGCCGAGCCCCGTGCAGGCGGGGCGGGACTTCCCGCGCCGGCTCCCCCCGCGTTTCCCGCCAAATCCGGAGCTGGGCCCCGCCCACTCGGTCCAGGAGCGCGGCAGAGACCGGGAGGGAGGAAACCTGGGAGGGGGAGGGGGGGCATGGACCCCATAGGGACACATTGGGACCCATAGGGACCCCATAGAGACCCAAAGAGACCCCATAGGGACCCATAGAGACCCCATAGAGACCCATAGAGACCCCATAGGGACCCATAGAGACCCATAGAGAACCTATAGTGACCCATAGGGACACCATAGAGACCCATAGAGACCCCATAGAGACCCCATAGAGACCCATAGGGACACCATAGAGACGCATAGAGACCCATAGAGACCCATTGGGACCCATAGAGACCCCATAGAGACCCATAGGGACCCATAGAGACCCATACGATGCATAGAGACCCCATAGAGACCCCATAGAGACCCATAGAGACCCCATAGGGACCCATAGAGACCCATAGAGACCCTATAGAGACCCATAGAGACCCCATAGAGACCCATAGAGACCCCATAGAGACCCATAGAGACCCATAGAGACCCATAGAGACCCATAGAGACCCATAGAGACCCATTGGGACCCATAGAGACCCAATAAGTACCCATAGGGACCCATAGAGACCCATACGATGCATAGAGACCCATAGAGACCCCATAGAGACCCATAGAGACCCCATAGGGACCCATAGAGACCCATAGAGACCCATAGGGACCCATAGGGACACATAGAGACCCATAGAGACCCCATAGGGACCCATAGAGACCCATAGGGACACCATAGAGACCCATAGAGACCCCATAGAGACCCATAGAGACCCATAGGGACACCATAGAGACGCATAGAGACCCATAGAGACCCATAGGGACCCATAGAGACCCCATAGAGACCCATAGGGACCCATAGAGACCCATACGATGCATAGAGACCCCATAGAGACCCATAGAGACCCATAGAGACCCCATAGGGACCCATAGAGACCCATAGAGACCCCATAGAGACCCATAGAGACCCATAGAGACCCATAGGATGCATAGAGACCCCATAGAAACCCCATAGAGACCCACAGACCCTCTAGACCCCATAGAGACCCCATACACCCCATAGACCCCACATTCACATCCATACCCAGGTACCCCATATCCATGCATCCCATATCCACACCCCTGTACCCCACATCCACATCCATGTACCCCACATCCCTGTGTTCCATATCCAGACCCATGTATCCCATATCCATATATACACATACCCCATACCCCATATCCCATACCCCACACCCCATATCCCATGTGCCCTGCCTTTAG